AGCTGATACGTCCAATTCTGGATCGGATTGACCTTGATGACTTGCATGGGAGTGATAATGACCCAGACTTGTTGCAATAAATGTTCTCATTCCATCTCCGGCGCGCCCTCCTCAATGAATAATATCAGCGACCGGACTGGTCGGTGTTTTGGCTGACTAACCGTTGGTCGTTTCGAGAACATCGATACAATTATGTATTTCACTGGTGCCCTAATCGCCGCAGGTGCCATTCCTAGATCTGTTGACGGGTCAAGACATCATCCGATGCATTGGTGGATCTCAGAGTGTGTGAACGTGAAGGCCTGGAAGAAGGCATTAACACGGCTGAACCATTGCTCAACTGTTGAAGGCCTCGGTTGAATATTAACGGCCACGAGCTCGAAGAAGAATCATGCGCAGAAGAATATCCGCTTCCTGGAGAACCTACATAATCTTTGCTTGCGTGTTACACTTCTTTGAATGCAGTCTGTATAAAAATACGAACAGTCAAAGGAATCCTCCCTTAATATGCAGTGTCTGGACTTTTAGTGAATGGGCAGATTGATACATCGCCAAATATACATAATCTATGAACTTGCCTCCAGTGCGTAGCGTGGTAATCTTTTCTGGGTAGGTTCAAGAGTAGATTTTTTTTATTATTGCCATATCTCAAAATGACAATTACTGTCTAATGTCTCGTCGTTAATTTATTCTTACTATTTTTTTATTAATTCGAAATAATAAAATCATAGTTCTCAGCAACACACTCCTGAAAACGACACTTCAGAGAAGGGCTTGTAAAGAAGTTGAGTTTTTTAGATAATTTTTTGTTGTTGTGAGAACTATCAAGCTCATCATCTCTAAAACTTAACTCTTGTTTCGTCAATCCCTACAGCTTCTGAGGCAAGGCCAATTCTTGTTATTCTTATTCTTAGAATTTTACGGTAGCAGCTATGTTTAACTAAACACTTTTATCCTCCATGATTATTTATAACTTCCGTTGACTACTCCTTCATCTCATCTACAGTAGTAATATCTTGGAAATAAGAGAACGGAAGCAATAGACTGGTTCTTTTACACCAGTCAGCCACGGCTTTGTGCCATACCTGTTTGTTTTTTGGTGTGAGGGAAAGTGTATTTTCCTACCTTTCTTTTTGTAAAGAAAGGTTTGGTACAGGTCCTTTAGTTTTAACTTCTAGTACAATCTCATGACTTAAATGACGGAAGTAAATACGTTGGTGACAAAACATTTGCGGGATTGATACCTTGTGGTAAAGCGATATTTCCTTCAATAAACAATAACTTTTATTGCTCAGCTACTGTTGAGGTAGATAGTGCTAATTTTAGACGAACATAATAAACTAACATTAATATCCCCCCCCCTGTCCGAACGAAACAGCATTACGCCCTGAGGAAGGTCGCAGAATGTCGACCGAAACGTCGGTCAACCTTCGCAATGGACGCGGCGTCACCCGGACAGCCAAGTAAATAAATCGCAGTGGAAACGTCACGGAAAACTGAACTGAATGCCAGCGCAGCAGACGGCATTGATAATTCGGGCCAGGGCAGTTTTCATAAAGCTATTGAAGAAATATTTATTTTATTGCCTGATAAATGTTTATTTAAACAAATTGTAGAAGCAAATGGGTGAACATTCGGTTTAGTGTAATTACTAATTAATTTCGCACTCTTTTGTTCATTTCACTCACATGAGTCTTTTAAATATATCATTAATGTTTTATAATAAATAAAAAAATCACAAATCTTTTATTCATAAGCAAATTCTCAAATAAATATTCACGCCATCTGTGAGATATTGCTCCCCGAAAGTGTAAGGTAACGAATTCTATATAAAAGGCACCGTCATTTTATTGCATTTCTAGCGGTTCACTGTTTTCTGTCACCTCTTTCATAGTCTTCGGTTTCAACAAGAGATAAGTCATTTCGATTAGCTAAGTTGGTTCACTCACACGACTCCTGAGGGCCAGCCTTCGGCTTGTAGCCGGACTGTAGTAACAGCATAATTGTCTAGCGAGCACACGTACTGTGCATGCGTTAAAGGGTCTGAACGTCAGGGTCTTCCTCTTATTAAGGGTAAGTTCGCAATCTCGGGAAGACGCCAAACCTTGAAAGCCAGACGTGAATCGTGGTAATTGTGAATTGAAAAATTATCAATAAGCACATTGAAGTAATGAGAACGGGTTTTGTTTTTCATTCCATGTTTGGGTAGGCTCCGCCTTGGAGCCCAATACGAGTAGCTACGCCACTGCTTGCCTCCCAGTTTAAGTTGCAGAGCTCATTTCTTTCTGTTCTTCCAAAGGAAGAATGGAGAATTGTGTCCTTAATTTTTCGGGTGATGTGGAAGACAGCTTCAATGTCCTTTTCCATATGGACAAGGTAGCTTCCGCAAAATCCCTATCAGTAACATCTCCTAGTCGAGACCAGATATATGACGCGATGTTGGAACACCTGCCAGAACAAGATTTAAGTTCGTTCATTATCTTTTCAGACGAATTAGGTACGAACATACCATAAGAAATACCCATCATACCTTTCCTAAGAAAGGAAAAGATCGATCATTACCAACAAATTATCATCCAATTTCCTTAACGAGCTGGGTCAATAAAATTTTCGAACGTATGGCAAACCACCGTTTGATCTCCAGAGCTCAGGAGCTTGCTAACTCTAATCCAAAGTGAATTGAGACACCGATCAACCCTGAACCAGTGACATTAGCAACTCTTTTGCGTTGAGACATCATTTAGTAGCTACCTTCTTTGATAAAGAAAAAGCCTATAACACACCACATGGGACATGGCTAGTGATGGAAGAATTTGGCGCTTTAAATTTCAAAACAACGCAGGATTTTAAACCAACTTGAGACCCGTGCCATTGTCTTAAACGTTCTTCAGACTATCCAACAACGAAATGTAATCAAAATCCCGGAGGCGATTTTAAGGGGCCGCGATATCAACCAGATCGATCACGGAATATCAATTTTGAAGGAAATTCGAAGAACAGTTTCGCCGCTAGGGTTCACAGATAGACGTTTGCCGTCAATCGATTTTTCGAAGGACCCACAAAACAGGGATTTTGGATACACCACGTGTGGATTCCCCCCCCCTAAATTTAACAACTTGATTTATCCACTCTCTCTTTACCAGGACACTGAACTGAGTTTTCTGCCGAAAATTCGCTATTTTTTCGCCCAGTATTACATAACGTTTTCTTCAGAAGTTCCTTCTTAAACGCGAGAAAGTAAAAAAAGTTAAATTTCTTTTGAGAAAAAAATAAAATAAAAAGAAAAGAAAGAAAGAAAAAGTTACCTTAATATCTCGTAAAATACAAGTGATAAAATGAAAATGAGTACATGCTTCAATTAGCCCCATTCCCTCATGCATTTCCGTGAGCACTACATTGCACTAAATTCAATCGTTCAAAAATTATAGGAGGTGCTAAAGTTACAGGACTCTTCCTGTATACTCTCACATTTACATGATATAAAAGTGATATTTTAATAAATTAATTCAACATTTTAACTTTGCCTGTCCCCTTGTCAAAAAAACAAAAACATCCTGAAGAAATCTTAGTTATAGAAATAAACTGAAAAATTTATGTGACCTGTTCAGAAATACTAAGAATGTCATTATTTCAAACTAAACAAAATTATAAAAAACTTATAGGCTTGAATTGAGAAACATTAATATGAATTAAATACTAAAATGAATAATTCAAAAAATCATACTAAAACATTACGTACATAATTAATAATGGAAACGTTCAACCCCACAAAAACATTAAGTTACTACATGAAGGTTTGATTCTTAATAATCCTTCACATTTTTGTAGGTCCTTAATAATCAGTTCTACTTTAAATCTGTTACAGGTAATGCTATCAACCCTTTTCTTCTCCTAGAACTGCAAATTACTTCGTCTCACTAATGTTCCTGAAGTTAATCAATTGATAAAATCCCTCAAAAATAGTCATTCATCAGGATCAGATGAAATACATTCTATCATTCTTAAAAAATGGAGTTCTACCTTTCTTATAATTTAGTTCATCTGACAAATTCATCACTTTCTGCATTCATATTCTCAATCTCCCTAAAAATCAGCTTTGCAAGACCAATCTAAGAACTTAAAGAAACTACAAAGCAGTTATTGAAAGAATTAAAATTAAATATTGACAAACTGTGTTAATGAACTTTAAATTCAATCACAATTGCACTCAACAAAACATTAAAGTAGAAGTTGATAACAGGACTGAATCAAACAGTCATATTTTTGAGAATCTTCATTTATCAGATTCTAACTTACAAAAAACTTGTGGATACTCTTTAATAAAGTATTCTCCAATATATTCCTCTTTAGATACTTGCCCAAAAACCTCAAAACTAGTATACTTTTATCAATATATTGTGGCATAATTCACTCTCACCTACAGTATGATGATGAAATAATGGGAAGAACTGCCCCCCTCCCCCAAATAGATTAATGGTCATGCAAATGAAGTGTCTTCAAAGCATATTTAAAATTAAATCAAGATAGTCTTGTAACAACTTCTACATTAAATATTAAATACTGACCTTTGCAGCACTGTGTTTACATGTAGAGTAAATGGTAAATAATTACGGGTGAGATTTTTTATTTTTTCATTGACACAGACACCCTATGCTTTCTCATGAGGAATTCTGTACTACTTTTTCAGTATGGCATCAAATCCCTTCTGAGGACAAACCTCTCTGTGTATATGATATACACATGTCACAGTTTTAGTGATCACAACAGGTCATCAAGTGGAATTAAGATTACATAAACAATAGTTTCTTTATGTGTACATGCCAATGAAAATTTTATTGTTAGAATAAAAATTCAAATACTTTTAATTATTAATTTTTAACAATAATTCCTTTTAATTGAACTTTTTTATTGTTTATCTTTTTTCCACTTTTTCACCCCATACTTGAGCAGAACAAACGCCTTTTTAAGGCCTATTTTAGTAAAGATAAATGGCTTTTTGCCTACCTATTTTAGGAGAAATAAATGCCTAAACATTCGAACTCTTCGAAGTACCAAATTGCTCTGGTGAATGGAAAGTTTCTGTGGGACATACACAATGACCACACATGTTGTTTTTGTTTTTGCTGTATACATGTAGAAAAGCACAAGAAAAAGTGGAAATTTTTTGAGTGAAAATATGTGGGCCCATGATACCACAAAAGTCAACATTTTGTTTCCCTATTTGTATTATATTGTTACGTGAATAATATGGTGTAATAAAAAAGTATGAAATAATACGAACAAATATGAAGAAAATGAATATAACAACAACATAGTACTTTCTCACATATGTAGAATAATCAAAATCCATGTTTTGGAGGGCCTTGATATTACCAATATATTGTTCATTACCATTATTATCATTATTTATACCAATATAGTGTTCGTTCTCCAAACATCTGTCCATCTTTAAAGAATATTAGGGCCTAAATCACATACAAGCTTTTCACTAAAATATGATCAATTTGAGTGACGTCAGGCCCTTTAATTACAATTTTTTTAAAATTTATTTATTTATTTATTTATGGCGGTACTTCACTAGTTCTGAGGACATTTTCAAAATTTTCTCAAATATAGCTCTAAATGTATTTTCATTGCAAACCTCTTGCAATTCATTTGATTACAGAAGTTTTTCAAACAATTGCTGAAATATTAGTCGAAGAGGAATGTCAACTATAATACATAACCTTTAATGAAAAAATGAGAAAAATCTTCTGTTGTAGAACCAATAATTATTTATTAAGATGGATTGTTGAATTGTGAAACCATATGATGAAATTCAAAATTAATTTCCCTTTTTCCCTTTTCTCAAATTTCAAAGGTTTTAAAGGAAAAGGAAAAGGAAAAGGAAAAAAAAAAAAAAAAATTGAGAACTCAACTATTTTCCTTAGTCTTTGAAATAACAATGGCAAATTCATTCAATTGCATGCCTTTTGCACAACAGTATTCTAAAAATTGCATTATGCAAAATAGAAATAATCATTAAGGTTCCTTCAAATATACAATTTTTCTCTATAAATTATTTTGATCTTTAAAATCCATAAGTTACAGCAATTCATCAGTATTTTCTTTTCTTTCTACAGCAATAGTTCTCATTTATCTTATCTTGACTGTAAGGAATCTGTTGCTCTTCCATTAGGAATTGTGCACAAAAGCTATGGGGTAATTTTGAAATCTCTGTATTTTCCTACCTCTCTTGCTTTGTAGATAAAAACCCCTATAGGAAGTGCTCATCAATTTCAGCAACCTTTTACCAATGAGAATTAAAGAATTAGGATTAAATATTTTTTTTTATTCAAAAGTGCTAAATATACTTAATTAATACTGAAATTTTACAAATATATTTAAGAAAATTTGTATCTTGTTATCACCCTAATTTGATCAATTTTCAGATAATTATACCTTGGAACAGTTTCAGTTAATTCACTTTAAGTAAAGAAAGAAAGAAAAGAAAAAAAAATCTTACACCGAGTCAAGAAAAAGAGATGTACATAATGATAACAATCCATACTATACTATTCTTTCTTGAAAACAGAAATAAATATTCTAAAAGTTTGAACTCATCAGAGCACTTTTATCTCCCATTAAAACAATTACACATTTCAATTTACAACAGCACATTTGTGATATTTTCAAATTGTGAGAATATATGTTCAAATTCTGTGCTTGTGTTTAAAATGTGCTTATGAGAATGAAAGTTCTATCCTTAGTAGTTTTCAGGATTTTGTGAAAAGCAACCTCAAATGGAAATTTAGACTGTTCAAAATTGTTCCAAATACCAAATATAAAAGAAATGAATGAATATTATTTTACAATAAACCCCTGAATTCCTTTAGCATCCAAAAAAGTAGGACTTGTTGACAAGCTGATAACGTTGCTTACTTGCATTGACATGGATATTCATTCAATGCATGTAATTCTGGTATATCACGAGTAGCTGCCTCTACAATAGGCAAGACCTGTTTGCGAGAAGCACGAGTATTTTTTTGTTTAAAAACAACTAATCCAGTAATTTTTTTTTGAGTTTCAAGAGGTTCTAGCTCCAAATTTGGATCAGTTGATTCTTGAAGAAATTGAATAAGCTGCAACATAAAACAAGAATTCTTGGTCAAGCAAAATTTTAATAAAAAAAATAGAGGTATTCTAAATCATGTTTTAAGAAACTTATATTTTGTTGTGGCCTCTGGAAAAATCCTAATTACATTTATTGGATAAAAACTATGCGTGAGTAATGAATATGAAAACATCTTAAAGGAATGAAAAAAAAAATACTTATTAGCATTTGAATTTCACATTCGTGCATGAGAGTAATATGTCATTTTCAACTTTTACAGAACAAATGTAGCATTATTTGACACTAAATTAGTAACAATGACACTAAATCAGTAAAATAAATAAATAAATTAATAGTAAATTTATTCTCCTTACCTTCTCTGCACCATTCCACTTAGGAATGGAAGTAAACACACCCAAGTCCCTCAGAAATGTACCTGAAGAAACTTCTTGCCCCATTAAAACAATAATTTGGTACTTTTTCTCTTCACAAAATTTCAGAAGAACATCATAAAGATCTAGTCTTTCCATTAATTTCTGTAAAAAAAAAATATTTAAATTTTAGGAAATGAGATCACATGGTGTGTGTCAAAAGAATTCTAGTAAACTGAATATTTACAGGTATTGAAACTGGGAAACCACATATTGGTATTCCACGTGCCAACTTCATATCTTTAATTAGGACCAATTTTGTGGCCAATGTAGAGATATCAGCTCTAGCTTGAACCAATACTTTGAGGACTTTCTCTCTGTCACACTCCTGATACATGCTCTCAAACATAACTGCCATTGACAGGTCTAGTTCTGTAGTTCGTCCAGAAGTAAGAGATAGTCCAGCTGTATCAAGAACAATTGCCCCTGAAAAATAATATAACATGAAATTTATAAAATTCTTTATAGTTCAAAATAAATAATCAAAACAGATGTATTTTAGAATAGTATTCAAATGATTTATTTCATACAATGCAAATGATTCAGGGTTCTTTTTCTGAAATCACTTGAATATCCTTTTTGTTAATAATATATTTTAATATTGAATCTCCCCCAGAACCACAAAATATAATTATTAAATCCCTAACTTTTTTTTGCTGTGACATAACAGTTACAAATAGAAATAGAAAGATATGACTGAAATATTTTATTATAACTTTAAACTTAAGCAATTATTAAGGTGTAAAATAATGGTTGCCAAAACTATTTAATGACCGATTGAATTATGAATTTTTGATTTTCCATTCCACAAAATGACATACGAATGAAAATCTGACTATTTTTAACAAAAGAGCACAAAAATAGTAATCTCCATATAATGTTCCATTGACCCAAATATTTAATTATACATAATTACTACATTTGACAGGTCTTATTGGTTTTTTATATTGGAATAACACATTTCCAAGGACTCATTTTATTTTATTTATTTTTTGGTTCCTTTTTAATGTACACCATCTAAATAATGCATTCCTAATTGGTGAAGGAATTATCCACATTCATTCCATTGAAATGGCAAAGAGATGAAATGAATGAAAACAGCCTACAGCTTAAAACAAACTCTGCTAGATTCTTTGAAGACTTTGCATATTGGAAATAAATTGTCTTAATTGTACAAATTTGCAATGGGACTTTAAACATAATTTGAATTAAATTAAATATCTTATTCCTTTGCACGAGTCATTGTGAGAAGAATATTTTATTGGAATGTAACCCTGATTTAATAACTCTTCATATTTTAAAATAATGTGGCTCTACTGCCAGTAGAGCTGAACTCCATTAATCCAAACAAGTTGGGGCAAAGACATGTTCTTAAAATTGAAGTGTCAACAGCCTGTGCATAGTGCTACAAAACTGTTCCTATTGACATAAAAATAGAATATTATCTTGTCTCTGAAGTGGGGATGGGAAACAATTGATTTTTTTTTATACAGCTCATCTTATTTTTAATTATGGTTTCTTTTTCCTTAATCTATCTAATTTTTAAGAGACCCTAAAAATTTAAAGAAATTTCCATTTTGTACTATTTAATAAATGAAAAATTTCCTAATGATAGATTACAAAGAATGCAAACACAATTTAGTACCACCAATGAAAAATTGAAATACATAAATTAAACTACTTAATTTTAAAATGATGTTTGAATGCAAAACAAGATAAATGATCTAATTTAATTATCATTAGTAGCTAACCCAGAAAAATTCTTGACAAAAATGAATGAAAGTATGCTAAAAATTACTAAAATTTACCTCCGAAATAATGAACACACAATACATTTATATATACCATATAGAAGCATTGAAATTTGAAGAGTAAACACATCTTTCCTCTTCTCCATTACTTTTTCTGCTATCAAGGAACTACATGATCCTACAGTGGAAATATTCACTGTTGCAAGGGGCCACTGTATTCCCTTCTGGACTGGGCGGTGATCTATTACTTCCACAACAGCTTTTTCTAAACCATTCCAACGAGGTGAAAGTACATGGTGATCAACTAATATTAACTGCAACTTTCCAATGCCATGCAGTTGTCTCAAATTTACATCATCTCTAAAAGAAGATATTAATATATAAAAAATAGCTTAAAAAATGTTGTTTGCAATACATCACAAATAAAAAAACGTTACCTGAACATGAAATGAGTTTTGGATATTTTGAGTTTCTGTAACCAGAAAAGAACTTCCGTTTTAAGATTTAATTCTTCTGGAAGAATATCAAATATAGCCATGGCCACACAATCCATAGAATATCGTCTGTACCTGTCATAATAATAAATTCCATATGCCAGTGAACAGGCAACTGTGTCCAAATCACAGGCTTCATTTCCCATGACGACAGTGACGGTTTCGTATTCCATTATGTTCCACTGGAAGACACAATATATAACATTAATGCTGCCTTTTATACATTTCTTCTTTATTTCCTTGACTAATTAATATTCACAGAGGTTAAGGACGAAAACGTACCAAACTGTTTTTAGCAGTTTGCAGAAAGTGATCTACCATATTATACCCGGAAGGTTGTGATATTGACATGGTGAACTTCGAAAATGAACTTTAAAACACGAAGAAGAATTGGTTCGTTTCGCGAACGACCATAACCAAAATATTAGAAGTGTTGTTAGCACAAACCAACTTTATACTGCAATTTATGTAATTCTGCCCCTGGCAGGTACAGCTGTTGACTGTTTCATCCAATCGAAAGCTTTAATGACGCTTGTGGTGAAGTTTATGCTTCCAATTGGATTATACCGTGTACAGCTGATACCTATCAGGGGTAGAGTTGCGAAAATCGCAGTATATATAAATATGTTCTCCAATTTAAATACAGTGACTTCTGACGTTTGAGAAGCTGGAACAAGATTAACCAATCGAGATGTTCGATACCAAATAATAAATGTAATGAATCTCCTGATTAAGTCCGGCGGGAGCAGACATGGTGTTTGATTTGAAGTTCCATGCACGACTGGGAAACAGCGCACATAGTGGAAGAATTCAGAAATAGATTCGTTTTAAGCGCGTGTTTAAAGTGCATCATTAACCGACGAGCATATCAATTAATTGGTAAATAAAATCAATAGCGGTAAATAGAAAAATACTGCTGAATTCTGATCAATTGCCATTCTGCTTTAGTATTTTGGAATACTCCTGACCTGTCATTGCGGTTTTGTTGATAAAAAAACTTTGCTGGAATCATATAGGCCAAAATCCAGTACTCGCAACGTAGTCTGATATTTAAGAGGTTTATATACTAAAGAGGCGTGAATGATTGACGTGAGACATATTAAATTATTTAACGTTAAAAAACTGTGCAAAATCGTATGTGCCGTTTGTTCGCAAAGTATAATCTGTGCAGTTTTCTTGTACTCAGGAATTCCTACACTACTCGCTTATATTCTAATCATACGTCGTGTCGGATTAACTCATGACCACAGTCAATGATCCACGGTCCATGATCACGGTCCTGGAGTCCTTTATAATGTGTTTCAATTCTTTCTTCAGTTCAACTTTTGCTTAGGAATTGTGAACAACTTGAAACTGATTTCTTAATCAAAAAGTGAGGTCAAACAATGCTTGTTAAGAAACATGATGTAACTTCTGCTTTTGAGCAGTGGCGGCTCATGCCTAGGTTGAACAGCTGCACAACCTCCAGATAATCGTAAAATACTTTCAAATGTTAGTTATATATTTTTCATTTAATTTCATTTATAATCGATATTTTGCAGATATATTGATGCATAAAAATATTTAAAACAAAGAATATCTGTCCAGTGCTATCTCTGGCGTCTAGTTGCAAGACCGTACATCGATTTGTGACGTCACGATGGATATTGTTAAGATATTTGATAATATTGTGAAGCACGAGCCGTCGGACTCGCCACGCGTCCCTACCCGTCAACATTGCAAGTACTCGGTCATTACCCGAGCGTTTGAGTACTGCAATGATAACATTATTTGCGCCACAGGTCATTGACGGATCCAGGGGGCGGGCATGGGGGCAATGCTCTTCCCAAAAAGACTTAGAGTTTTGGTTTGGTACCTTCATTTGAAAAAAATTGATTTAATTATTTATGCCAAAATTATGAAGTTATTAAAAAATAATATTGTGTAGTATTATATACACACTACAAAAATAATATCCAATATAAAAATAAATAATTTGTTTATTATTTACCCCTCCATGATCGGCTGGATCCCACATTTCCACAGGCTCACATCGCAGACCGCTGAGAATCTTCTTGCTAGCCTCGCCGCCGAGAGTTGGGGGGGGGGGATATCACTCGTCTGAAACTCGCTATATCGCAGGTAACTCATTTTTATGAATTTACGCGTTATGAAAGTACACCTGTTAACTGATGGCATTAAATGCGTTATTTAGGATGTTCGGCGAATTTATTTTCCTTGAGGTATCTTGATTCAAAATGTTCTTATGATGAGTGCAGTTTCTTTTCGTGAAAAGTCTTGTAAGAAAGTCCCTCTTCTTATGTACTGTACTTTATGTGTGCAGTGTGAGTTATTTTACGCTCAGTGATCGGCAGTCATTTCGTGTCGTTACGCATAGTGCGTGAGATCTTGAACGACACATTGTTCGTGATAAGTTTTGTTGTGCCCTTGTGTGTGTCGTTTCTGCTTCTGTTTGTGATTTAGGACCACGTATAGTATATAGAACTATATATTATGTTTGAGACCGACAAACTATCTGATCCAATGCCACCAAAATGAGTAGCTATATAGAAATCTGTAAATATCGTTGTTAATTGTGCCAGCTGTCAACATTTAATTTGTTATACTTAATACGTACTTTTGTGTAAGCGAATATTAAGAGCAATTTGTTATTGTACCGATTTGTAAGCCTTTCAGGCTCCAACGGGAATTCTAGGGATTCCTCACTCCCCTTCTTATCGCAGAAGCCGCAGCTCGGCTGCACGTGGCAGTTGCAACGACAACGCAAGATAAAGCAATCTCATTGCGTCGTTTTATTAAGCACAAAACTAACACCATAATTTTGGTAATTTAAAATGTCAATTAATGCTGTAATTCATATTAATTCTAAAATACACACTGCCCTCATCTTTCAATCAAAACAATTTGAAACGCCTGATTTCATCAGTCACAACTCAAAACCCTGCGAGGTTGAACAACTTGCATCAGCACGCAGTCTCTCGCGCATTCAGTTTGCAGTCAGGGTGGCCGAGTGCACCTTGTGTGACTCCAGAAACGAGTTCATGTTTCTTTCGCAAGGTGTCATGCACGCGTTCGTAACTTCTGTGCAACAACTTATTAGTGTACTTTCTGTTAATCGTGTTATATTTTAGCACAATGCATTGCATACTATGTATATTGCCAATTACATTCATTTAAGCTGATTACACGCTGCTGTAGTTATAAGCAAGTGTAAGACTGTGTGTTACTGCCTCTGCTGCGTAACGTGCTTCTCGAATATTGCAACCGCAATCATTTTAACTGTATTTGAACTGTTTCACTGACAACATTTCAGCTGTGATATTGTTATCAATCTGAACTGTGTTACTACCTCCGTATTGTAATGTGGTAATTTATATTGCAACTGCAACCTCAATCACGCCATTCAACGTGTGGACTAACAATTGTATTGCTACAACATCTGTATCCGTGTACAAGGCATGCTATTCTTCATGTTCTCAGTAAGGTAATGTCTGTGAACAAGTCTTCAACGAGAAAAGGCAATCATAAACTTTACGCTCTGAGCAACCAGTCACGGCAGGTCTGCCAACCTCCCTCTCAACTTCGCTGCCAACGACGCTCTTTCAGCTACCCGATTTACTGCCATGCAGATGCTTATCAATAATGGTACTAACTGCCAATCGTTAACTGGTTCTTTCACTATTAAAATAATTGAAATATGTTTCCATGCAGAATTTTGAACTCATTCTTTATTTGTAACTATTCAATCAGTTTAATTATATATTTTAATTCACATTTCTTGTGGATAATTGTGTGATGATTATTTTCAAATCGATTAGCTTTTCAGCTAGAAACAGGTTCCAGGAGTCTTAATTCATGGTGGTCCTTCAGAGTCATGGAAGGAGTGACGGAGAATTGGTATGTATTTAAATTAATCACCTCCTAAATTTAATGTCTACCGTTTATACCACGACCGCAAGTTGTTTTATCTTATGAAATCATACTTTACGTTATTATTGTAGAATAATTAATTTCACACACACACACACACACACACACACACACACACACACATATATATATATATATATATATATATATATATATATAGTGACGTACCTTTGATGCGGTGCGATTCAGTACATTCATTTTTAGAAGGGACATGTATCTTAGTTCGTGAATGGGCTTTTGAAGGTTTGACAAAACCTTGGAAAAACTCAATCATCTTTTTTAAACAAAAATCACAAATTTCGTACATCAACTCTGGTTTGATCAATCCCCGTTTTGGTACCAAAACTATACATATGAGCTCAGATTTCACAATACCTTGAATGCAATAAACCATTAGTTTCTTCTCGGATGCCCCTCAGCGGCCACGTCGATTTCGGGGAACCCAAATTCTCCATATTTCCGAGTCATCCTTGGTTTTGATTAAAAACGCTTCCTGCACTATCTTCCATCGGCCCTGTTTTTGTCTGAGTGCTGCAAATTCTGCGTCATCCTCGGCCAGTTGTCCTTGCTTGAATTGTTTAATCTTACGAATCTCGTCTCTCTCTTGTAAAATTATGAGGTCATCTCAGTCAAACAATGGGGACCTCGAGATACCCAAGTCTATCGCCATTACTTGGACTTCTTTTGCGTTAGCGTATCTGTTCCTCCTGTCTGGTTCTTTTCTGCTTAACCAATCTGGTAAATTGTTCTGGAATCCTTTGCAATGTTCTACTTCAAATGAAAATTCTTGCAAAGCTAGTACCCAACGATGTAACCTGTCATTTCGGAGGTGACATCTGCTTAGAAACATCAATGCTTGATGATCCGTCTGTACTATAAAGTACCTACATTTCAGGTATGGTTTGAATTTTGATATCGCCCAAATAATGGCATTTGCTTCTTTCTCCGTTACCGAGAATCGGAGTTCGGGTCCTTTGAGTGTTCGACTGATTATCGATACAATTTTTTCTTGGCCATCAATTACCTGATACAACATGGCCCCAATCCCGAAGTCACTACTATCTGTCTGTACAATGCATCTTTTCGAAAAATCGGGATGAACTATAAAACAGCTGTTGTAGAACATTTCTTTCAACTTGTCGAACGCGTCCTGGTATGCATCGTACCACTTCCATTTGCGACCTTTTTTCAAAAGTTGGTAGAACGGGTACATCACATCCGCAAATCGTGGACAGAACCTTGCATAATAGTTGCATGTGCCGATGAACCGGCGTACTTGTCTGAAAGTTCTCAGTGGCGATAGATTTCTGATCTCTTCGGCTGTTTCTGGATTCAGACTAATTCCTTCGGTTGGAATCACATAACCTACGAACTCTATCTTCTTGGAAAACCATGACGACTTCTTCAAATTGGGCACTAGGTTGTTTTCTTGCAGTATCTGGAATAATTCCAGGTCTTCGAAGTGTTGCTCGTTGGATGTCTGCAACACTATGACGTCAACATACGTTGTGACTCGATTTTGCATTTATCCTTGTAAAATTTGATCCACACACCGGATCAATGCCGCTCCGCTATTACGTAATCCAAACGGTACCCTACAAAAGACGAAACAAATCCCCTCGAACGAGAAACCCGTGTACTTCTGGTCTTCTTCAGCAACCTGCAACTGCCCATACGCTTTGCTAAAATCCGTGCTTGAGAAGATTGAGTTCCCCAAAATCTTTGTAAAGCTTCCTCCACTGACGGTGGGGCGTCCCTATAAGGTAATGCCACCGCGTTCAACCGCCGAGCATCTAAACATAACCGCAACCCTCGATCTTTTTTCTTCACGATTACAATAGGGTTCG